CTAACTCACTTCTTTTTATCAAAAATCACCTCATAATCCATTTGATTTCATGATCTTGCATCTTAGAACCCACTAAGTTCGAGATCCATCCAAGGAACTTGCTAGGGCCGAAAATAGCACCAAACTTCTCCAAATCTTCTTCAAAACCGAAACTACAAATCAAGGTGAGCTTCATACCCCTTTCTTTTCGGTTTTCAAGTGTTTTATAGGGGAGAATACAAGTAAATGTGTAGATCTATGTGTATGTGTATGCTATGTGTGATTTGATGCATGTATGTGTGTGATTTCATGTGTTTTGTGATGAATATGTTACCAAAAAGGGTGTAAACCTGAGATCTATGACAATGAGAAAGGAAACAAACGTAATCTAAGCTATTTTTCACAAGAAAAGTCAAGAATAATAGCTTATAAGGTCATGATGAACACATTCTAACATAAAACCCATTTTTGGGTTTAAATTGTCAAAAATACAAAATTTGGGATACAAATCGACAAATCATGGTTTCTTGAAGGTCAAAAGGGTCAAAACAGTTTCTATAATCATTTTTCTGAATACAAAATTTTCAAGGGACTTAAAATGTAAATTTTTAGCTTAATAGGCTAATTTTTGGGCTTTTTGGCCCAATAAGCCTAAAAATGTGAAAAAGGTTAAAATTTTGGGGCTGAAATGAAACTTTCTATAAAACAGGGGGTAATTAGCATGACAAAATCTCTTTATGAGTCAAAAATGCTTTTCACTATCAAAAATGACCAAAAATGTAAAGTTTTTAGATTTTGGGCCAAAACTGTAAAAGTTGTGAAAAATGGGGCCCTAACCGAGAAACACTATTCTGGAAGGGCTGAAGCTGTCAACAAAAAAAATTGGGTTAAAGTTGTGTTTTCATCAAATAAATACTAGAAAAGTGTCAAGAAAAGGTTTTAAGGACTAAAAATGAAATTCTTCTATATAAAAGGACCAAAAGTGCTATTTTTACAAAAGAATGGTAGTGAAAAGATCAAATCCCACTTTTAAACAAAATAATTCATTAATAAAAAATACAAAATCCACAACTACTGACAAAACGGAAAACAAATACACTCTCAACAACAAATCTCGTTACAAACGAAGTGATTCGATCTCGAATCAATACAAAACAACAAGCGTTGAACAAATCCATCTAAATAAATACGTGATAACAACGATGAGGAAACATACAAACTTTGGGCTTGGATGTTTCAAATCATGTTTGTTGGGCCTTGCTAGCCCATTAACATGATCTTTGGGCACAAAGGAAATATGCTTATGTGCTATTGAGCCTCCTATGACCCGATTTCATGTAAAAGGACTTTCAGTGGCTATGATGTGCTATTGGGCCCTAGTGACCCATTAGTATTGCTAGTGAGGTCAAGAAATCAAATGCGAGTTGGGACAACGTGCCTTTCGCATTCCCGACAACCTAAATAACTCACGGAAATAACGGGACTTCGTATTCCCCTTTTTCCTCGTTTGTTAGGCTTACGAGAAATCAAGGTAAACAGATTTAGGACGTTAATCAAAAGTAATCATGGTTGTTGGATTAAGTGAGTAGTAACGGGCGACGCCTTTAAGGATCGTTCGAAACCTGTAGTTATAAACTAGTCATTTTCTAATGCATGATTATAACGACTCACAAACCCTAATTAATCCAACGTAACGCGAGAAATCAAAAATCATTCGTCGTGATGGTATAAAAAATTGAGAATTCACTTCATTTTATGAATTGGGGAGAACATCGGGTTTTCCTGGGAAGTTCAACATTTTCACTTGCGCGATTAATACTAAGGTTCAACATTTATACATGTTTTAAATATCAACAAACATATATTTACGGATCTCCACACTTTTCATAAACAACGATCTTTTTAGAAAATATCGGATTTTCTGGGTTTTACAAACTACACAAAATCATTTTATCACAACATTGCTTATAAACTCACCAACATTTCATATGTTGATGTTTTTCAAAATTAACTTGTATTCTCAGGTAACAGGTAAACCGAAGAATAAGTACCAAGTAATGTAAGGGTGTTTTGCTTTTGATATCTATCAGACAATTATGTTATGAATTTGTACTGTTTAAAAACAAAGTATTGGATGTAAACAATATCAGTTGTATTATTTTAATGCATGGTGATGATTTATGTTATGATTCGTGTATATTCATTGTGATGGTATTCAATTTAAGTCACAAGAGCCCTCGGACGTTTCCGCCGTCTGGTTCAGGGGTGTGATAATTTTTTCCCAAAACAAAATGTGATAAGAATTTATCAAAGCATTTCTTTAAAGAAATGTATTTTCATTAAATAACAAAATCCCGGGATGTCATGTTCCGATACAGACCAAAAGCATAAACAATATAATATAGACCTTACAACAGTTATTAATAACTACCGATCTATAATCCAAAATCTCTCGTCAAGTCCACCAACTTATACCCTTGTGCCATTACCTGTAATGCAAAGAAAACTGAGTGGGTCAGGCTTGGAAGCCTGGTGAGCATATAGGGTTTTCAACCCACAATAATATAATTATCATATTTAATCATCAAGCAATCAACCCAACTACCCATCCCCATTATCTTCTTTATTTCTTAAGATTTTACCCTAAGAAATAACTATCATTTATTCATTCGTTCCCAAGGATTTACCTAAGGAATCGACACGAAGTCCATTGCTGCCAAAGTTTATCTATCAGGTACTAAATTCATAACTATCAGACGCTAACTCCATAGTCACCAAGGTTCACTCCACAAGCGCTAACTCCATAGTCGTCAAGGTTTACTCAAAATGCGCTAACTCCATAGTCGCCAAGGTTTATACAATAGGCGCTAAATCCATAGTCACCAAGGTTTATACAATAAGCGCTAACTCCATAGTCACCAAGGTTTATACAATAAGCGTTAACTCCATAGTCACCAAGGTTTATACAATAGGCGCTAACTCCATAGTCACCAAGGTTTATACAATAGGCACTGTGTCTCATAGTTGCCACTATTTCATCTACCCATGTTCTACCCAACATATTTTGTAGATATAAAATACATATATAGTTTGAATCATTTAACACCCGTATAAAAACATCAATTCCAAGCCCATCTCAAATAGATAAATAATATATAGCACATAGCACGTATTTCATAGCTAATACTTTATATTTATGTGTTAAAAGAAAGTAACCACACACTCACTTGATTAGACGATGCCCGGACAACACTACGACTTGTAAAAGTATTATTCTTTGGTAGATCTGGAAGATCTTCACAAAAACCAGGATTCTCGCGAGCAGGGCTTCGGCTCGGGAATTTCACTTCTCGGGATCTTCGGAGCCTCGGGACTTGCTTCGGGTCTCGGGAATGATACCGGGGCTTCGGGATATTTCTTTCACGAAAAACGATTAAAAAACGAGAGGGAAAAGAAGAAGATGAGCAAAGAACTCGGAAGCACTTATGTTCTATTTATAGAGGTTGAAACCCCGAGTTACGCTAGGCAAAACCCCAAATTACGTTGGGCGTAATCCTCCGTCGACATGTACACTGGGCGTACATCTAGGTACGTGGGGCATACCGGGTGGATAGAACCGACGCGTCAATGCCTCCGATATTATCCGATTTTATATTTAAATTAATATATTTTAATTATTTAAAAACTTTAGAAATTCATATCTTCTTCATACGAACTCCGTTTTCGACGTTCTTTATATCCACGCGTATGTGAGACTAAGCTCTACAACATTCGTTTAGACTTTGTCGGCTGATTTCGAATTTATTTTTTATTATTTATTTTTAGTAGGTCGGGACAGGAAAACTCCGTTATAAATCGATAACTTCTTCATCCGACGTCCGTTTTCGTCTGTCTTTTTACCGTTGTACTACTATCAACAACATCTTCGATTTTCATCTAGATTGTTTCGGCTAAAAACCTCTCGATCTCAAATCGAGTATTCGAGTTGCACACCGCTAAGTCGAAACTTAGAAAAATTATAATTTCCTCATACGAAGTCAGATCTGGACGTTCTTTTTACGTACACTCACGGTTTAAAGAACTCTACGACTTTTGTTTAGATCTCTAAGGCTAAATATTGCTCCAACATAAATTCACTTTTTACGTCGCGCTGTGTAGTGTCGGTTCTGTCGCGAAACTTCGACAGGCCATAACTTCTTCGTTATAACTCGGATTTCGGCGTTCTTTATATGTACGAAATCCTTGTAACATATACTACAACTTAGTTAAGATTATTCCTTCAAAATAATCTTCCATAAAAAAGTTATTTTTTATGCTTATTGTCCTTAAATTGACTAGCCCTAATCTACGAACATTACAAGTACTTTGGAGGAAACTCACTAAGATTTATGCTTATCATGTTATATATTATTACAGGTATCATTGGTGTTTATGGGAAGGCAAATGCGGAACTGTACACACGCATCAGCATCATTGAAGATTCTACGTGTTCTATAAAACTCTAATTTTAAATAAATGTAATTTGAAATAAATGGCTTTCTTAATAATGGATTTATAAATTGAAAAGTTTTATCTTAATAAAAATAAAAAATAATTGGTTGTGAAAATAGAATGTTACATAATAAATCACTACATTTTATAAAATATATAATTATACCAAATTATACAAAAGTTATTATATTTTGAAAAATTATCATAAGTGCTACGTTATCATGCAATGTTAGCATGCTACATCTTCAAAATTGAAATTTCATGAGACAACACCTTAGGTTATTCGGTTAATACATTAGCATGTCTCCTCAACAAGCAAGCGGTTAGAATTATAAACTTAGTATTTTTTTTTTTTAATTCACCAAAAATAATATCATATTTTGCATGAAAATGGTGATGCCATTTTGTAAAATAAAATTATATATATATTATATATATATATATATATATATATATATATATATATATATATATATATATATATATATATATATATATATAACTTTTTTTAATTTTATAGTTTTTTGGTAACCGATTTTTCAATCCATTATCCAAATCAACAAAAGAAAGAGACGATCGTCAGTCATTACAACATATTTGTGAAGCAATTTACAACTAAAATCCCACCAATGAAAATACATGTATGCACGCATATATACATTTAAGCTTCCAAAAAAATACGACAGGCAAAATAATTTGTGCTTTCCTTGAATCCATCATGCATCAATGCTTATAAAATACATTTATTCTTTTTCTTGAAATGACACTTTTACATTAAAAACAAGTGATCAGCGATAAACATCCATTAGAATATCATATTGAAGTCTCGCAAACTTGTCCTTGGAAAAAACAAAGAAACTATGAGTGTCGCAACCACCATCCACTTCTCATTTGCAGAGAGTAGATTCTTCTATGCGCTCCATCATTAACTTCTACTTCCTACACAAAAACCAAGTGACATTATTTCAATGGGTTTGTATCCATACAGATAACACATTTTACTTTGAAAAATCTACCAATCATAGCATTGTCGTTACAATTATTTTCTTATTAAGACATTGTACTTTGAAAATTGCTTTGTATTTAGACGATTGCTATAATTGGTGGGTAGATTTTTCAAAGCAAAGAGCTATAACAAAAAAAAATTAAGTATGATGCTATAATAAACAAATATATGAAAATTCATCTTTTAACCTTAATGATATTCTCCATCTATTCAATTCATGGATAAAAAGAAGTACCTTGAACCATAGTAGTCCATATTGCATTTGAAAAACTTCTGAAACATCTTGAAGTCGATTTATTTCGGTTTCCCTAACTAAATGCAACATATTGTTTCCTTCCTTGTCCTTGAGAGGAGTTATCATATCCTTCATTGAGCCGATCTCATGCAGAAGATTGCAGATACCTTCATCACAGTATGTGACAGCTACATGAAATATAGTTTGCTCATCATCATTTTTCTTCCATAATAACTCTAGATAGTGTTGAATGAGCACAGCTATAAATTCAGTGTTTCCCATCTCCGCATCATTACACTATTTTCAAGGCAACATCTACAAAATATTTAATGAGGTAACTGGTAAGGTGTTATAACTTATACATTAAACAAAGTGAAAAAAGAATCACAAATACTTACCAAAGAGATCAGCTTCTACACAACTCGCTTATTCCAAAAAAACAAGCAATGTAGAGTCGCATTCTTCCTTGATGCCATAGGACCATATTCTTATTCACCATAGTCTTAACGATTCTGACATATCCATTTGTTGATACTTTACACAGTGAAGTGTTGTGATATTTGTTCTGAAGTTCTAACTGTTCCATTGTGAGATGACACACATGGTTTTTCACAATCTTTTCCACTGTCTTGCTGATGTTTGCAGATGTTGCAATGTGAAGTGAAGTATCATAATTTTCACTGATGTCAAACCCTACCAGATATGGGCGTTTGCCAACAGGAACGTTGAATTTGTGGATATCGTCTCTATTTCCTTTAAAATAATTACAAAATGGGCGTTAATTAAGGCTTTTGTGGATACTGTTTTCACCAAAAATACGAAAAGTGTTTATGATTGTTTGATTTTGATTGATGTAAGAGTTTACCAGGTAGATCTAGATTGGATGGTGGCGGTGGTTCCGGTGGTGGAGGAGGAGGACCATATGAAGTCGTCGGAGTTTTTGAATTTTCGTGCTTTTGGACGATGGTTATCATCTCATCGATTGAAGATACACTTCGGGGATTCATTTCCTGCACCTGTATAATCACAGTATTAGGATTAGTAACTGTCATAAAAAAAAGCCACCATGAGTATGTGGTGTGACTGAAAATATCTAAAATCAAAAGAGAAGTAGATTACAGTTTCAGTTTCATGGAAAAACTGTATGTATTGTGGTAAGAAAGGAAGAAATGGCTGAATCCATCGATATGTATTTAAGCAGATCTGAAGGGTTTCGTGATCGTCAACGATTCTTGCTGTTCGCCATAGTTGATTTTTTGGTGAAAATATATACTAAATTAGGCCCATTGGTCTACAAGTTGTAGCATTTGAAGGATAAATATATTAAAAAAAACAACATCAAATCTCAATCGTATCATATCAATAATTTTAATATACGGGGAAATAAGCATTTCAAGGATAAATATATTACTAAAACAATATCAAATCTCAATAGTATCAAATCAATAGTTTCAATAAAATCTAGACAAAATTGCAAAAATGGTCCCTGTGGTTTGCATTTTTTCAGGAAAAAAGTCCAAACCACGAGTTTGTTGGTTTTGTGGTCCTTTTGGACTGGTTTGTTTGTGAGAATGGTCCCTATACTTAACACCCGTTAAAAAAAATCCGTTAACCCCCTCATGTGCCTTGCACGTGAGGGTATTTTTGTCTTTTTACTTACAGTGTCAACACTTCCTTCTACCTTTTATCCCTCATTTACAATCTCAAACACCCGTCAACTCCCCACCTCCCTCCTTCTTCCTTCTGCTCCATTAAACCTGCAAAAAAAAAAAAGTCGTTATCGAAAGAACCTAATCGAAGCAAAAGGAGACAAGGCCATACTTTAAAGTCGAAATGGTGTACGTAATGTGGCAGATCAGACCAAAAAATGAAGTTGTCGACGTATCATCCTTATATGGTAAGTTGCTCTGTTTTCTTAAACATTCCTATTTTTCATTTTACCCTTGATTTATACTAAAATCCGCCAAATTTTGACTTTGTTATCATGTACAATTTTGACTTGTAGCGGGTGCACCCACATGGTTTAGTATTAAGCTTCATCATGGTGGGAAGTTTACTAAGTTACCTGACATAAAGTATACTGGAGGTGAAGTGCGTTATGTTGATTATGTGGACATAGATGAGTTTTCTGTACATGAACTTGATGCCATAATGCTTGACCTAGGTTACCCAGACCCACGGATGATTGAATTGAGTGTTGAATCCCCAGTGATATACTACCATTTCAGGATACCCAATGGTGACTTTCAATTTGGTCTTAAGCTTTAGGGAATGATCAGGATGTTATCAATCTTTCTAAATTTATTCAAAATAACAAGTTGATTGAAGTGTACACAGAACATGGGAAGACAAATCTACTCACATACTTCATGTCTCCAAATGCAAAGGGTAAAGTTGTCATTGAGGAATTACCAGAAAATGATGATCAAGGGGCTAAATATGAGGCTGAAGTTCATGTAGAATCTCCATTGAGAAATATGAACCATGTCAATGATGAACCAATTGGTGAGTACATGTCTTTGATTCTTTTTGGGAGTAAAACTGATGCATTCTCTCCAGAGTATAGAAGGGGTAGAGTTGGGAATTCAAAAAGAGAGGAAGGTTCTTGTAGCAAGAGGCTTAATTTAGAGGATATTGATGATTTAAAAGAGAAGGAAAACACTAATGAAGGTGTTAAGGAGGTTCATGAGGCTGCAACTGTTGTTGAAGGATGCTACAATCCATTTACTTCAAATATTGCTAATGTAGGGGATGAGATGATTGGGGTTCATGATAATGACCATATTGATGGATGCTACAACACCCCACCCATTAATGATGATGAACAATATAATGAACTTTTTGACAACCTTATGGAAAATTTAAATGGAAGTGATGAGTATGTTGAAGAGTATGAAGGGGATGTTGAATCTGAAGAGAGTGATGAAGAGTATGAAAAGGATGAAGGTGATGATCATGATGGGAAACAATCAGAAAATGAAGATAAAGTGGATGACATAATGGATGAGGAGAACAATATAGAAGATGTTGATGTGGACATGGCAGACTTCTTTCTAAATGTTGAAAGTGATGTTGAAGGAGCATGTATTAATGATGGTCATGAACCTGAAGATATGGAAGTGATCAACAATGAGGAGTTCGAATCATTGGATGAAGGATCAGACCAAGACAGAGAAAGAAGAGCTCTCATAAGAAATTTGGGGAAAGAAAAAAGGTGCAACCTTGGGTCAGTACATATACAGTCATTCTCAGTGGGGCAAAAGTTTAAAAGTAAAAAAGAATTAAAGGAGTTAATTGATGTGCACGCACTAGAAACAAGAAGGAATCTATTCTTAAAAAAAAATGACAGTCAAAGGCTTAGGGCACAGTGCAGAGGAGTTGTACCTGTCCTCAATAAAGGTCAAGTGGGGACTAAACCTACCACTTCAAAAAGCAAGGGCAAAGAAGTAAAGACACAAAAAGAAACATGTGGTTGGTATATACATGCATCTAGGTCAAACCCCGAATCTGATTGGTTTATAAGGACCTTAAACCAAACTCATACATGCTTACAAACAAGAAAACTCAGAGCTTGTACTGCTTCTTTAATCTGCAAGAAAATCATAGATCAAGTTGAGGCAGATCCGAAGATTCCTTTGAGAGCCATACAAGATCACTTTCAAAAGACCTATCAGGTGGGTATTTCAATGGATAAGGTGTTTAGGGCAAAAGATATGGCAAGAAAGCATGTAACTGGGGACTACACAAAACAGTTTGAGTTGTTGAGGGACTATGCTCTTGAACTTCAAGCTACAAACCTAGACACAACAGTCAAAATAGATGTGTGTCCTAATGGCAACCCTGCATCCCCAACAAGGCAGTTTAGAAGGATTTATGTATGCTTGGGTCCACTGAGAAAAGGTTTCAAAGCATGTCTTAGAGACTTAGTAGGTTTGGATGGTGCCTTCATGAAAGGCCCATTCCCTGGTCAGGTTCTTACAGCAGTTGGTCTAGATTCCAACAATGGAATTTATCCCTTAGCCTATGCAATTGTTGAGTCTGAAAACACAGCTAGCTGGAAGTGGTTTTTAGAAAACCTTGGGGATGACTTGGAGCTTGGGAGCAACTCAAACTATACTTTCATAAGTGACAGGCAAAAGGTAAATTAAAACTCATCAATTGATCATTTAGATTGTGTTTTTTTACCAAGAAATTAATTCTAATTATTGTATGTTGAGTCATGTAGGGATTACAAATTGCAGTTGATCAATTGTTTCCCAATGCTGAGCATAGGTATTGTATTAGACATATTCATGAAAATATGAGAAAGAAGTGGGGGCAAACTGAGTACAGGGACCATTTATGGAGGTGTGCATCAGCAACCACCATTCCTGAGTTTGAACATTTGATGAAAGAGTTTAGTGAGTATGATAAGGTGGCATGTCAATGGTTGAAGCAAATTCCTCCTGTACATTGGGCAAGGAGTCATTTCTCAGGTAATTGTATATGTTTGCATATGGTAAAGATTATGTGTTTCAGTTATTTATCAGCATTAATTGTATGTTATTGTAATGTGCAGGAAGAGCTGTTTCTGATGTGTTGATTTCAAACATGTGTGAAGTGTTTAATGGGAAGATAGAGAAAGGCAGGGACAAACCTGTAATTTCATGTTTAGAGTTCATTAGGGAGTATCTAATGAAGAGGATATGCAATGTCATGAAGGCAATGAAGAAGGCTAAAGGTCCACTAACACCTACAGCAACAACATCCTAGATGCAAGGAAAAAAGGTGCTTCACAATATATTGCTAGGTGGAATGGGGCAAACAAGTATCAAGTCACTGCAGCATTGCAAGATCAACATGTGGTGGATGTTAGGAACCAAACCTGTACTTGCAGAAAGTGGGAATTAATGGGAATACCTTGCAGGCATGCAATTGCAACTCTGAATGAAATGAGCAAAGACCCTGAGGCTGAGCTTGACATTTACAAGTGGGTACACAAGGTGTATTGGCTAGAGACATGGCAAAAAGCTTATTCATTTAAGGTGGAACCAATTAAAGGGAGACCCATGTGGCCTAAAAGTAATTGTCCAACAAAGCTAATCCCTCCTCCACATCACACTCAGGTGGGAAGGCCTAAGAAAAAAAGAAGACAAAGTGAGGGTGAAAGGTTAAGCAAAAGGCAGAAGGCAAGTGAAGGTGATGGAGTCAATGAGATGCAAGGAGAAAATTCCCAAGGGCCAAGAAATGATGGAGTGCAGAAGCTATCAAGGAAACATGTTAGTGTTACTTGTAGCAAATGCAAGAATAAAGGACACAACTCTAGGACCTGTAAAGGGCAAGGAGGGAATCAATCTAAGAAGTGATTGTGGTTATTTGTTGTGGTGCAATGACTATTTAGTTTCTTGTTGTTAAAAACTGTTTGTTTTTGAAAACTTTAGTTATGGTTTGATGATGTGGTTATGTATGGTGCACAGACACTTGTATGCTTAACTTGGTAATGGTTTTTGGTTCCACTCATGTGGTTAATGGAATGTTCATTTTGGTAAATTTATGACATGTATTTTGGTAATGTACTTTTGTTACATTTTGGTTCTATTTATGTGCTTATATCTGACAACTGATACACATTTTGAACACAACTGATACACATTTTGGAATTCATTACAAACATGATGAAGTCAAATTACAACAAAATTATACCATTTTTACCCTGCATCACTTGATCAACAAAAATCCCCACATTTGCCTAACCCTATCCCTTACATAGACCAAGTACTAAAGATAACAATCACAAACATAAACCAACTTGCACATAAATACATCTTCAGCTTGAAACCTTCATCCTTCAATGCATCACACCTTGCCTCCAACATGTTGTTCCTGCTCAAAAGTCCATTGCACTGTTCCTGTAACATGTTGATACTTCTTACCAGCCCATTACATCTTTCCTCCAATGTATTTATGTTTCTTAGAAGACCAGGTATGATGGTTTTACTCCTAGCACAAATAGGTGGGTCAACCCACCCGATAAACCCACAAACAGAATCCTTAGTAGGGCAAGCATAAAACCTCCTGCCGGGATTCAGTGGTGTCCAAGACGTTTTCACCAAAGCAAGCTTTCCACAAAAACAAACCACCATTGTTCGATTGCAAGTCAGGAAAGGAGAAATGGAAGATAATAGTCGTTGGGGAAGAACAGTTAAGAACGTTGGGGAAGAAGATTTGTTGGGGAAGAAGCTGGGAAAAGAAAACGATATATAAAGGATGTTTTATTTTTCCATATGCAAAAATGGTCCCTATAAGTAAAAGGATAGAAATACCCTCACGTGCAAGGCACATGAGGGGGTTAACGGATTTTTTTAACGGGTGTTAAGTATAGGGACCATTCTCACAAACAAACTAGTCCAAAAGGACCACAAAACCAAAAAACTCGTGGTTTGGACTTTTTTCCTGAAAAAATGCAAACCACAGGGACCATTTTTGCAATTTTGTCTATTATTAAAATATTAAAGTTGTATTAAAATTGTAAAAGTTATAAAACTAACCAAAATAGTATTAAACAATTCAAAAAGTTGTTTTTGTGTGATGAATAGTGTTACATCAAATATAGAGGTTACTATTTAATTTTATCATTTTTGTGTTGAGTTTAGTGGTCCATTGAAACACATTTTTACACCAAAACACTATTTTTGTGTATCCATTGGAGTTGGTCTTAATTTTTTAAGGATTGTTTAATCAGAATTATTAAGATTTGAAGTTTTAATATGTTTGAATTTCTATGAATGTGTGAAATTTTAAGATCTAAATATTTAACATACTGCTTGGTTAGAACGTCTAAATTATTGTGCTGAATGATAAACATGATCATTTTGCCCTTTTGTTTAAAAAGTAATAATTAATACTAATAAAACCATCAAAAGTTTGAGAAATTCACATTTACATATAAACGTTTTACCAACATTTAATCCACTACATATGTTCACGGCTTCAAAATAAAAATTCACCAAAATTTCAACATTAGGGCTTGCATTAAACAATAAATAATCTCTTATAAATTCAGCTTATAAATAAATGTTTGCATTCACTAAAAACTTCACATCCAACAAATGAACAAACATACTATCTTTCATTATTTTATTCTTACCTCAAAACTCCAGCTTTCAATCTTTGACTCTGACCTATTCAACACATCAAGTAAAGTGATGAGGAACTCCTATGTGAATTCCTTTTATTACTCATCCCAAATTTGAAATAACTTATGTCACGACTAGTATTCAAGGTATCCCTAGAATCTAAAATGACATCTTAAGCATTACAATCAATGAACAACAATAAGAAATTAAGAAAACAAAGGCTTCATAACGGTGGCTACAAGGTATGAAAGCTGACAATATCTTGAAAGAATCATATTCCTTCAGCCATTTCATTCCAATTCCATGGAGCAAAATAAACAATTCTTTTTTTAGTTCGAATAGAATGACACATTCCATTCTTTCCATACCATTTGATCATACCAATTGTTCAAAAATAACATTGTGTGTTGGAAATATGTAGTTGTTTCACCTAGATCTCTTTTTGTATGTTCCGAGAGGAAGTTTAGTCCGAATTCTGCTAGCTATAGCAACAAAGATATAAGTTAGAGCGATTCTGGGGAGTCCCTGAAACCTCTCCGATGAGATACTAAGTATTGAGCGGTGTGAAATTTAAGAAAACTAGCTTAAATACAAATTGAGGTTGATTAGTGTACATTTACTGTCCACATGATTTTTCTTTATAGGCAAATTATATGGCTTTGCACGTTTGTCTTTTGCCCGAGGGCACGCTAATGGGATTGACAATCAGAAACAGGCGGGCTCCTTACCTTAGTCGAGCCCTTAGGGTAGAGTCTTCCGGGTCTCTTCGTTTCGAGGTTGAATTGGAGAAACCCTTTGGATTTCCACATACGTCATTAAGCATCCTTAGTTTTGACTTGGTTCTTGAATTGAGTTAAAATTAATATTTCAAGACGACCTCGTTTCGAGAACTTATCCTCATTGGTGATGATTACACTAGACCACGACATTTAATGGTTATCTTTTCTCTGACTTCCCGTATCCCTATAATGTATCGTGTTCTCCCTTGACCCTTTAAAAGAGGGATAATTTGACTTCTCCTTTGGTTTTCTTTCATCTCCTATTTTGCTATTTTTCTTCATCGAGAATTCATAAAAAAATTCATGGGAAAAGCTCGTTAAATCAATCCCTTCCTCTGTTGGTTCTAATTTTCTCTATTAGATCATAAAATCGTATAGGATTTCATAAGAGTTCCTTCCTTCGGTGGTTCCTCCAGATTCTTCCATTCGAGATATCGGGGATCGTCAAGTGGGAGTTTACCTTCAATTTCTTATTGTCAGTTTAAGGTTTTTGGCACCCTCATTTATTGGTGATGTGTGTCATGCCTACAAGCTTCACATCACTCAAGTGATCCCCAATAGTGTAACGTCCCAAAATTGTAGACCAAAATTTTTGTTTTTGATATAACGATTCGTAAAACAATTTATAGAAAACAACATCAAGTTATTTCATTTCACAAAAACCATAGATCATATGTCTCAAAATCATGTCATAAGGTAGTAACAATGTCAGAGTACAAATCCCAAGAATCTCATATGCGGAAAATCGTGTGTATGATACGCTGCTACCGTGTCGGCTCCTTTCCCTTCAAAGAAGAAGGATCTGAAACAAAAACTAAAAACCGTAAGCACAAAGCTTAGTGAGTTCCCCCATCATACCACATACCATACAACATACATACTGTGTAACATATCCGGGTACTGGACTACCACTTCGGTCTCTTTCAACCGGTAACTGCCTAACATATCAGGGTATTGTCCTACCCCTTCGGTACTGTCGACCGGTACCTAGCCTAGCATATCAGGGTGTTGGCCTACCCATTCGGTCCTTTCGACTGGTACCTTGCCTAGCATATCAGGGTGTTGGCCCACCCCTTCAGTCCTTTCGACCGATATCGGGGACTATTTCACCCCTAGTTCTACCATATAGCATCCTAGTGCATAAACATATAAGTCATATACTACCTAGCTTATCCGGGTGTTGGCATAAACTTGTCGAGTTCCATGATCCATAAAACCCTGAAATCTCAATCTTACTATTCGAGTTCTTTCATGAATTCGTCGAGTTCCATAACCCATAAAACCCTGGAATCACAATCCTACTCGTCGAGTTCTTTCATGAACTCGTCTAGTTCCCCTTCATACAGATTCGGGACATTTCACTCACAACTCGCCAAGTTCCTCCTTGAACTCATCGAGTTCTTCAATTGTCAAACCCTAAAACATGTCCAACTCGCTGAGTCATCTCCTAAACTCGACGAGTTTGCCCAAAAACAGAAAAGGTAGGGGAACCACGATCCAACTCGTCGAGTTACATGAACAACTCGTCGACTCCCCCATAGTCTAAATCCATTCAGTCGTTTACAGTTGGTTTCAATGCTTCTAAACCACATATCTAGCCTCATAGGGTCGATATATCACATAAAGTTACTAACTTTACGTTCATGCATGGTGCCATGATGCTAATAACACCAAAACTCAACTCCTAAAGAGACCTAAGGCATGGAGAAGGGCCAAGACTCAATAAAGTTGGCAACTTTGAGTCTCACAAGGTCACGGACATCTAGATCTGAAGTCATAACTCCAAAACATGCTTACATCTATGAATGGTTCCAAAATAGGCTCCTTAAGTCCCTAATCTACTCCATGAAGAGATCTAGTAAATGAATAGTCAAGGTATAGACTTTATACCTCAATAAGGATGCTCTGACAAAGAAATATCTGGATCTAAGGCTTCTTCCTTCAACCAAGCACTTCTAGCTTCCACTCCTTCAAGGAAATACCAAAGAATCACTCTCTTTTCACTCACACACACACACTCAAAAGGCTCAAGATCACGAATTAGGGTTTTGTCGGACTGGGGAAGGCGATGAGGGAGGCCACAATGAAGTGTTAAGGTGCTTAAATAGGGTGCAAACCCTGGAAATTAGGGTTTCACTCTGGAAACCCTACTTGTTGAGTTGAGGCTTCTTAACTCGTCGAGTAGACTTCAAGTCCCGCGTCCAAAAATCTGTTTCTACTCGACGAGTTTGGGGCCTCCAACTCATCAAGTCCCTTTGCAAAAATAAATAATATGGTTTAAAATACATACTAGGATCCATGCGTTACAAATCTCCCCCACTTATTTTAGAATTCATCCTCGAAGTATGTTGCGTCTAGGAAAAGCTCGGGGTAGTGCTCCCTTATCTCGTCCTCCGACTCCCAGGTCCATTTTGAGCCATTGCGGTGCTGCCATTTCACCTTTACTAACTC